CCGGGCGGTCATGGAGCACATCAGCACCCCCAAGGTAACCCTGCTGGGGGTCCCGGCATTTGCTCCCTTTGTTCTCCCGCCTGGGAACGTCCCTTGCGCCTTCGGCGTTGGGGGTGGGTGGGTGGTTATAGCCGCGGGCTGAGGGTGTTCGTGGCTCCGGCGCCTGTGGGGAGGGGGATTTCAGTGCGGGGCTGATCCCAAGGGGGTTCGGGGATGATTCCGGAATATTTCCTTTCTATCAAAGCACGAGAATTCCCCTCAGTCCCAATGAGTGAAGCAAAATGTGGGGGTTTTTTTCCTATTGAATTGAGTCAAACAGGAGGTCTGAAAAGCTGTCCTAAAAGGAATTGCATTTGTTCAGGCAGCCGTTGTTAATTTAATTTTATTTTTGCTGCAGTGAGGGTTGCCRTATTTTGTTTTATTCTCCAGGATATTGGGGATGCTCCTTACCCCCTGCCCTGAGGTGCTTTGCTGGTCCTGCATGTCTGTAGTGCCCTGAAAAGGGCAATTTTATATTTAATAGTAATATTTAGTGAAAAAACACGACCTACTAAGAGGACATTGAGCCCAGGCCTCTGGGCTCCAAGTTTATTTGCTGAGATTTTCCATTATTTCCTTGAGACCAACATAAGGAAGCTCGCCTGTTCAATTCCCAGAAATAATCTGTCATTTACTGCTAAAACATTTGTTTTCATTGTCCATCCAATTATTTTTTTCTCATTATTTCTGCTCAATGRCAAAAGAAAATTTCCATCTACTTTCATTAGGCAGCAAATAGGCCAGGAGAAAATCAATCCAATGTTGTGCCATATTTTATTATGTTTGCGCCGATGTTTTTCAAAGCTGTTTTTTATTAATTATCTTGTTGTGGTTTATGAAATGCATTTGGAGGCCAGGAAGTGAGTTACAAGAAGTAGCTCCTGACAGGGAATGAGCAGTGGGAAGTCAGCCTGGAGAGGACTGTTYCTTCCAGAGCAGCATGCTGGTGACCCTGAGCGCAGACAAGGCTTTCCTTTGCAGTTCTTTGTCTTGTTATTTCTGCAGCCTTGCACAGTGACAAACAAACAGGGATCATCTTGGCTGCAAATCCAGTAATCCTGTTAGGATTTTCTGCTGCTGAACCTTSGCTGTTTGCTTAACCTTTATGGCTTTAATTCATGGAGAAATAATTTGAGTTTATGGTGTGAAGCTGGGTTGGTGTTGCAGGAGGGGACTTGAATTCTTGTTTTTTTCTGTCATGCTTCATGAGCTGTGTGTTAGAAGTTGAATGAATGGAGTTCAACAGGTGCTTAAGTACTTTGTCCATCCAAGTTGGCCTTGAAGGAATTTCTGCATGGAAAGGGTGGTCAGGCATTGGCAGGGGCTGCTAGGGAGGTTTGGAGTCCCCATCCCTGGAGGTGTCCAAGGAACACCGGGACATGAGCTGGGTGACCAGTCAGGGATTGGGCACAGGTTGGACTTGATGATCCTGGAGGGCTTTTCCAGCTTCAGGGATTCTGTAGCATTTTCATCCTGTGTTCCTACTGCAGGTTGAAAATGTGAAGCTGCTGGATCGCTACGCRAACAGGAAGGCAGCGACTGGGACCTTGTACCTGACAGCCACCCACCTGATCTACGTGGATGCATCTGCTGAAGTCAGGAAGGAAACATGGGTATGGAGTGGTAGAAACATGCCTGGAAAAGTTCCTTTGTATCACAGGATGGTTTGGGGTGGGAGGGAYTTGAAGGATCATTCCATTCCACCTCTGGTATTTCCTTAAAGCTCAGTTCTTCTTTCTTTTCATAGAATCATCTTGGAATCCCAGAAGGGTTTGGGTTGGAAGGGACCTCAAAGATATCTCATTCSACCCCCTGCCATGGCAGGGACACCTCCCACTGTCCCAGGCYGCTCCCAGCCCCAATGTCCAGCCTGGCCTTGGACACTKCCAGRGATCCAGGGGCAGCCACAGCTTCTCTGGGCACCCTGTGCCAGGGCCTGCCCACCCTCCCAGGGAACAATTCCTTCCCAWCCATCCCTGTCCTCTGGCASTRGGAAGCCATTTCCCCTTCTGGAAGTTGCTGCTCTCCTTTTCAAAATCAACAGGTGTGGGAATTCCAAAGCTGTAGTGATTTTGATACCATTTTTATACCAARTGCTTCAGAGAGACATCTGGTTTGGAAGGAAATGAGCACATTGGTAAYGTGAGTTTATAGAGTTTGCTCATGGAATTAGTGTCAGTTCAAGGAATGCAGAAATTTGTGTAATTTCCTATCTCAAACTCAGTGTACAAAATCACTCAACGTGAATTTGCAGCTTTCAGAAGTGCAGACTTAGCACTGAAATGARCTTATTAATTCTAAGGTGAAATGTGAGTGACAGAATATATTTCAGATGGGGGTGGAAGGAAAGCAAAGTGCATCAGGTAAACTGGGCTGCACATCTGTCTTTGAAAGTAATTTATGTACTTCTGTGTTTTTTCAGTCCTGCGCTAGTTCCCTGGGTTTTGGGTGCAGTTTGTTATGTTTGATAAGTATCACATTTGATAAATAGCTCATTTTCTKCTGCTCCTTGGGTACAGGAAGCATAAATAGCTGATTGTATTACCAAAATTCCATATCTGCTTGTACTGCTCACAGCTTTATCAGTGACAATGATATTTATTTCATGTCTTGCAGATTCTCCATCACCACATCTCCAGTGTGGAGAAGCTGCCCCTGACCACGGCTGGGTACCCTCTGCTCATCCACTGCAAGAATTTCCACGTGGCTCACTTTGTGATTGGGCAGGAGAGGGACTGCCACGATGTGTTCACCTCCCTTCTCAAGCTCTCCCAGCCAGGTACTGGGGATAGAAATCTCTTCTGGGAATGTTTGGAATGCTGTGAGCTGAGCCCTGGGAAAGCTGTGCTGCCCTGTGGTTGAGGTTGGGAGGGAGGATATGGGATCAGAAGCAGCTTCCACCATCAGACGTGATGGGAGGGCTCAGGAGGCTGAGCTCTGTGGGGCAGGACATTTRCTTCCAAACTAAACCCAATCTTGGGAGCTGACAGGAAAGGTGGAGAGAAACTGTTTATGGGAGCCTGGAGTCACAGGACAAGGGAGAATGGCTTCCCAGTGCCGGAGGGCAGGGATAGATGGGGTATTGGGAAGGAATCCTTCCCTGTGASGGTGGGGAGGCCCTGGCACAGGGTGCCCAGGGAAGCTGTGGCTGCCCCTTGTTTCCATGGCAGTGTCCAAGGCCAGGCTGGACATTGGGGCTGGGAGCAGCCTGGGAGAATGGAAGGTGTCCCTGCCCATGGCTGGGGTGGCACTGGATGAGCTCTTCTAACCCAAACCTTTCTGTGATTCTGTGACTCTCTGGCAGTGASAATGAGGTGATCTCCCATGAGGAACTTCTGGAGAGCTGTGCAAAGTTCATGTCTCAAATCTGGCCACCGTTGCTCACTTGTGTCACCCAGCTGTTGGCTTTGTGCAGTTCAGCCCTTTCCAGCTGATCCAGGCATTCCCAGAATTCTGGAATCCCACAAATTGGCATCTTAGCTCTGTTTCCACTCACATGTTTAGGCTGCTCTGTTTGTTCAGTTGTGGAGGAAGGCTGTGCTTCACCCTGTGCTGACTTGGAGTCACTCTCAGGGTGTGAGCCAAACACCCTCAAAAGCCTGTGATCTCTCCTAGCTCCAGCTTTTTATCCCAGCATGGATGAACCTTCAGGCTCTTCTTGCAGGACAACATTCCACYGAATTCCTGCCTGGCTCCTGCCTGTAGCAGCCTCTGCTTTTGGGGTGCTAGAACCAGTATTTGCAGTTGTGTTCTTATAAGGATGTCATTTGTAACTGCAGTTTGTGATGGTGTYACCAGGCTGAGGGAGGGGAATTAACGACAGCTCCTTGCTGGCCTTCTCCCAGGACTGGGCTGGAAATCCTGGAGGAGAAATGGGGTTTGCTGAGTTTGGAGATTTGTAATTRTCTATTCCCAGCATCCCCCTTGTGCTCTTTGGAGTTTCCTTAGTTCTGAAGTTCTCACTTGATGCTGTAGCTGGCAGTTTGTGTKGTTTGTGGTGTTACCATTTAAAAGCTGTCACTGCTCTTTGAGGTTTGAAAATTAAAGGTTTAGATAGTGTCTAAAGCGTGGGAGGTGTCACTACAGGGGCTCACACCAGCTTCCTTTGTTCTCTGCTTAACTCTGTAAATGCTGCAGCTTTTCTTCTACTTCTGGATTTCAACAGTGCCTTTTTTTTTTTTTTCCATTTTTTAATGACTCTATGTGTGTTCCCTTCACGGATTTTTGGCASAGCACATCATTATTGATGATGTACACACGTGGAATGGAAAGCTTTGGGTCACCTGCCCAGTAACCAGCTGCTTTATCTGCCTCTGACAGGTTTCCCTCTGTCTCTRGAGCTGCCTGGGGAATCAGCTGCATGAGTTATTGGATGGATTTGCATTTTGTGAAGAGAGGGAAGGAGATTGGGATGGTAAATGGGCATTTGTCAGAGCCAGCCTGAAGCCTTTGCTGGGCTCACTGCAATATTCCAGACATCCCTCAAATTTTCCAGGCTCAGAATTTGTTGTTGAGCAATGACCTTATAGGTGTGCAGGAGCTGGTGTCTGAACTCCTCACAGAACACGGATATTTTAATCCATGTTTTCATGTGTGAATTAATGGTTATGATATAAATCTCATTGAACATGCTTATTGCAGTGAATTTAGGAGGAAATAGTTTATTCAGGAAAAATTTCTTCTTCCAGGTTGGGCTAAAACTTTGTTAGAATTAGTGTATCTCCCTGCATGTGGGAACTGAGAATTGGAAGTTTCTGAGGATTTCAGGATGAATTGTCAGCACTTGGTACTAACCCAACCAAAACCCTATTAAATRTGAGGTTGAGAAGTTTTAAATACCTCAAATATTCCTCTGTAGCACTCAATTATTGATTTTCAGAAGTTTTGGCCTCTCTGGATGTCTTTGCATCTCTAACATTCATTTTTTTCTTTCTCGTCAGTGAAACCCGAAGAACTTTATGCTTTCTCTTACAATCCTAAAATGTCCAAAGAGAACCGGGAAATCGGATGGAAACTGATTGATTTGAAACTGGATTACCAGCGCATGGGAATTCCCAAYGACTACTGGGAAATAACGGACATTAACAAGGACTATGAGGTAATTCCTGCCCAAACGAGCCATTTCATGCACTATCTCCTTGCTGTTATTAATGACAGCCCTGCTGCTGCCTCAGGGGAGGAAGGAGCTCACTTGGTTTGAGTTAAAGCACATGATCTTTGTGTGGAATTGCAGATAATGATGCTCCAGGAGAGTTGCAGAGGCACCTTGTTGTGCTTTGATCCCCCTGACAGGGAACCAGAGCCTTGTTTTGCTGCAGAAATGTCAAACCATCTGTTAGGCAAAGTCTCAAGTACCCTTGGCTGCTTTTGGTCTTTGCAAAGTCTGTTCCACCTGGCTGGTGACAGATGTGGGGGAGAGAAGGAAATGGCAGCAGTTTGGATTGGTGGGGAGTGAGGCAGAGTGGAGAGGGACTAGGGAAGGAAGGAAGGAAGGAAGGAAAAAACAGCAGTGGGAAACAGACCTTTCTTTGCTTCCTCAGTTGGATCTTCTGCTGTCTCAGGGCTCTCCGTCATTTCAATCTGAACTGGCTGCTGCTGTTATTTTCCCTGAAAGGCCGGGTGGATCTAAACAACATTAAACAAAAGCATTTGTCAGCAAGCTTGTTCAAACTCCTGCTCCACATTATTTCCACTTTTTATTTCCTCTGAGGCTCTGTACAGTCAGGCCTGACTGGTGAAAAGCTAAATCAAGCAACTCCAAGGAAGGCACCAACATATTCATAAACCTGAAACCTTCCCCTGGCTCTCCACTCCTTTCTCCTSGGGGCTTTCTTTACTTTAAGCTTTGAGTTGAAGAAAGACAAGCCTGTGCTGTCAGARGTGACTGTTGATGATACCTGCCTGTGCCTGTGGGGGCCTGGATTGAGATCTGATGTGAGAGCTGCTGTTTCCAGTAGCTGATCAGGGCACCTGAATGTGGCCATCTCAAACCATTAATCACTGTGAGGCTTTGCTTGCTAGTGCTTTAGAATTTCCTCAGGATTTCCAGCCCRTGTTTTAAAATTGTCAAGCCTGATGTAAAGCCAGATGTGGAGAGCAGCTTATGTGTGAAGTCCATGCTGAAAAGACTCCGCTTGTTTGAGGAGGATGGGTAAAGCTGCTCTCTGAGGGTGCCACCTGAGTGCTGGAAATGCCTTTTAASCTGCATAAGATTTAGAGAGAACTTTTAAAATATAGTTGTTCTAGAACTCTCTTATTGTGAGAAGGAATYSTTCCCTSKGAGGGTGGGSRGGCCCTGGCACAGGGTGCCCAGAGAAGCTGKGGCTGCCCCTGGATCCCTGGMAGKGTCYRARGCCAGGTTGGAGCACCTTGGTATAGTGGAAGGTGTCCCTGCCTATGACAGGAGRTGGAATGAGATGAGCTTTTAAAGTCCCTTCCAACCCAAACTCGCATTGTTTTCCTGAATGCCTCATAACCTAATAAGCTAAAGATAATTTTTCATTAATTTTGAAATGTTCAGTAGYAATATTTGGGTTTTTTCCTCTCTTCTCCCTCAGGTTTGCAGCACATACCCCCCTGAAATCGTAGTGCCTCGAGCTGCCACCAAGGCAGTGGTGATGGGAAGTTCCAGGTTCAGGAGCCGAGGGCGGATTCCGGTGCTTTCTTACTTGTGTAAGGAAAACAATGTAAGTGCTTCAGTGCCTGTTGCCTTGTGGGGGAGGAAGGGTTCCCCTTTCTGTCCAGTTCCCTTCTAATGAAAGAATAAGATAATTATTAGATTTGAGGCCTTTCAGAGCTGTGCTTCACTGAATGGCCTTTGTTCGGAGTCACAGAATGAGCTAAAGGCAAACACTGGGAATGCAGCAAGAGCTGTGCAAAAAGGACAAACTTTCCAAGCTTCCTGTTGGGAATTTTTTCTTAATCATCTTTTGGCAATTCCTTCTGGCGTGGGGTTTTTAATCTTCTGTTTATCTGTATTGATTAATGTTTTATCAAGTYATATGTTGACTTGGCTGAATTTTCTTAGTATTGAAGAGGAGGAACCACCCTGAAATAAATCCCCACTAGCTCAGAATATGTGAAGATTTCATTTTTTTTCCACTGAAGACCAGAATGTAAATTTGTAACTTTGCTGCCTCAGCAGTGTTTCAGATGCTGATGTTAGGAAAATTCTGTCGCAGCCAAATTGTTGTTTTCCTGAGGAAGCTTGTCTTGACCTGGGCACTGCCTGGAGTTGTGCTGGAAACTAATCAAATTTCCTTAAAATATACCCAGTGCTGCTGTCAGTGTGSAACAGCAGCAACTAATAAGGAAAACTCAAAAGAATGGTTTGGAAATAGAAAACAAATGGAAAACATGAGAAATTGCTGCCTTCCAGTACCTTCAGGAGGCTGATGGAAAGGAGGGAGAGGGATATTTATATGAGCACAGTGACAGGGCAAGRGGGAATGGTATTAAACTGCCAGAGGGCAGGGRTRGATGGGATATTGGGAAGGAATCCTTCCCTGGGAGRGTGGGGAGGCCCTGGCACAGGGTGCCCAGAGAAGCTTTGGCTGCCCCTGGATCCCTGGAGATCTCCAAGGMCAGGCTGGAGGACCCTGAGATGGTGGAAGGTGTCCCTGCCATGGCAGGGGGTGGGATGAGATATTTTTAAGGTCCCTTCCAACCCAAACCCTTCAGGGCACTGACATCCTATGAGCTGCTGACACTTGGGACAGTGACCATCAGGCAGAGCTCAGCTTGAGCCTCCTCATCCTCACCACGTCCACTTCCCAACCTTCTTGTTTTGTGAAATGACCCAGCAGCATTTCTGTGTGTCCCCCTAAGCAGCGGTTGTTCAGAAAGGGAACACAGGACAGTTCACACTGTGACCTTGGTGTTGTTTTGGGGCATGAAGGGTCTGTGAGAGGTCTGTTGTGTGTGTGTTGCAGGCTGCCCTGTGCCGCTGCAGCCAGCCCCTGGCCGGGTTCAGCGCGCGCTGCCTGGAGGACGAGCAGATGCTCCAGGCCATCCGAGAGGCCAACCCYGGCAGCCCCTTCATGTATGTTGTAGACACAAGGCCAAAGGTACCTCCACGGGGTYGGGGCTGCTTTTAAAGCTCGTTTCTGAATTAATGGTGCTGTTTCCAGTTTGTTCTGTCACAATTCTGCCAGTGCTGGGTCTGTCCTACGTCAGGGATGGGGGATCAGGCTCCTGGTTTGGGGTATAAAACTGGGATATGAAATGCTCCTGAGGATTTGGCCCTCTGGGGTATCCTGGGTTGAGGTTTGTGTTCAAGATGCCCTGATGGAGCTGGCAGTTGTGAACCTGGCTGGGACAGTGAAGGGTTTTCCTGCAGAGCCTTAAATGCGTGGAGTTGGAGAGAAGCCTCGGGATTCAGTTCCATGAGACTGAAGTGCTTTTATTGGCAAACCTGGGAGGAAGTAGGGCTGGGAAAAGCAGTCCCTCCCCTTTTTTTTGCCTTTTCAAAATAACATTCACAATGTTCTCTTGATGAAGTTTAATACAACTCAGCTCTTCTGGTTTGTAGCTGCTGTTTGGGGCTGGAACTTGAGAGCTGAGGGGTTTATGTGAGAGGATATTGAAGAAATATTTGCAAACTGAAACCTCTAATGGCTGTCACCTTGAGAAACTGAGTTTAGAAACGAATTCCAATGATTCTCTTGTAAACATATGGATTGGGAATGTTGGTGGAAGCCAATTAAAACACAAGGGTTTTCATAGCACACAATTAATTAYGCAAAGATTTAAAAGTGCTGTGATTATTTGAAAATGCAGTTTTCTGCAAATCTGCTTCACTGTTCAGATCTTGCAGTTATTTTATATAAACTACAGATTTTATTAAACCATGGCAAGGGCAAGAAAGAAAAGGTCGTTTTGGGAAATTAAGGATCTTGTTCCAGTGTGCATGCTGGCTTTTAGTAYACCATTTCCTAGAGATCCCCTATTTTGCAAAGATATATGCATTTATAGCAGGCACTGCATGTTCTTTGGGTACAGACAGCCTCCAATGTCAAAGCTGTGCCACTGAAATCCATCAAATCCATTTGGAGACAAAGGGAGAATTTATAATTTGTGACGCTTTTCCTTCTAACCCAACCTGTCACACTCTGGCAGAACTAGGGTTATTTAACAGTTCTAAAGSTGTCTGTACCATATCTGGCTGTTCTCTCCTCTCCATGGAGGTAAATCTCTCAAATTTGTATGGAGGGGTTGAGCTGCTCTGTTCTCTGTCCCCACCAAAGATGTCCTGGTAGCTCTTGAGCTGGTTTAGGGAGGATTATTAGAACAACTGGCTTCTTTTCTTCTTCTTTTCTGCAGTTGCTGTATTTTTCCTGCTCAACTTGAATGTTTCTATGTTTCCCTCAGGTGGCTTTATTTCCTCTGTGCATGTATGTCTGTGAAAAGATTGGGAATTCTCTTACTATTTCTGTACCAYCATGTATGTATGTCCCTGTTAAAAATGACTTTCCTCCTTTCGTGTGCTGCTCTGAATTTCCTTAGGGAACTTCACACTTAGGGCAGGCTCAGTATGTCTGATGGCAGCAGAAATTGGGGATTGATACTACCCAAAGTAGGGTCTTAATGAACCTCTGATTAATGAAGTGGAATAATTTTARTGAAACAACCTCTGGGAAGTGGGGAAGAACAGCTGAGCAACAGCTTTGTCCAGTACATTTTCTGGTAGATTTAAAAAATAAAAAAAAATAAATACTTGCAAAACAGCTTCTCTGAATTTCGTTGTGATTTTCTCTTTCTTTTCTCTCCTGTTCCTGTTCCCTTGAATTTGTCAGTTGAATGCCATGGCCAACAGAGCTGCTGGGAAGGGCTATGAGAATGAAGATAATTATGAAAACATTCGTTTTAAATTCATTGGCATCGAGAACATCCATGTGATGAGGAGCAGCCTGCAGAAGCTGCTGGAAGGTGGGTACAGCCTTTTGGGGGGTTTGTCTTTTTTACCCCTCCTCGAGAGAGCCTTCTGCTGAATATCCAAATGCTCCATGCACAAAGTGTGTTCTGATGGAAGCAAAGCCASCATTTGGCTTTGTTTGCTGCACTGAAGTGGTTGAAAGTATTAATGCTGTTAAAATGCTTCCYTGTTTGAGATTTATTTGTCCTTATGCTTGGTTTTATAGTGGTTCAAAACTAGCAATTGGTATGAAAAATACTCCTTAATTAATGTGCCAAATTAATAGGAAAAGGTTAATGTTCCGTTTTACACCTAAGATTCTCTCATGGTTGCTTCATGACCTATTGAAAGAAAGCCAACAGAGGTTATTCAAGAAATACTTTTTGGGGTTTGCTGTATTTGGAATATTTCAGGRTTTAACAGCATTTCTGAGTTGAAATACAATTTTGGCATGATCTTCCAAAGCCTTGAATCTCATATATACATTTTTCTTTTATTTTTCATTTATTTCTGATTTCTTTAAATAAACTTCTTTATTAATGTTTTAATACATAAATATATTAAAATGCAAAGTAATTAAGCTCASTGTGATCATAGAGAAAAATGCAAARCAGGGTAAAAGAAACACCTGAGCATTGGGGATCAAGAGGGGAATCAAGCCCAGAGCTTCACTGGCATAGTTTTGGAGGAGTTCCATAAAGGTGCTGACAGAGCTTGGATCAAACCCTCACTCTGCTCTGTGGTTTCCAGCCCTGCTGGTATTCCTTGTGCTGGTATTCCTTGTGCTGATATTCCTTGTGCTGATGTGGAATGGGGCAGAGGAGATGCTGCAAATCCTTCTGCTTGGTGCCTGTACTTTGTTTTCTATGATGCAGTTCAGGTGCTGTCATCCARAATTGGAGTTTAATATTTTAGTGACCACCACAGTGCTGACCTTGCTTCAAAARAGTTGAGTAATTGATGCTCCCAGGTGGTCCTGCAGGATCCATGGTGACTTTAGACCAAAATCGGGCTGTTCCCATCCAAARGAGTGGCCTGATCACAACTCTGAGTCCTCAATTGCCTCTTCCTGGCAGATTTGTTTGGTGGTGGAAGAAGAGGCAGRATAAATACTTGTTTGCTCCCATGTTCTCCTCCAACAGCAATAAAATCTCATTCACTGGGGCTTATGGACTCTTTCTGAACTTTATTACTCTCAGTATTTTCTGTGCTGCGTTTCATTAGAGCAGTTGAGTTGCCTTCAAGGTTARACTTGTTATTTCTGTCTCTAAATTAGAGAGAAAAATAACTTCACATCCCTGTGAAGTGAGTGAGTGGTTGTAGATGTGATGGTGATTTAGAGTGAAGCAACAGCTCACTGTTGGAAAAAACACAGCTGAATAAATAATGAGTTACCCTTTAAACAAAGAGCTGGAGGAAATTTCCAGAGCCTCAAGTTCTCCCACAACCAGCAATTTTTTAGTTATGAATTTTAACCATGCAACCAGTATTTTGTGTCCTTTAGACAGGATATTGCTTCAAGCACTTAAAATTTTAGGAGAGGTAATGAGGAGSTGCCAGAGATGTGGTTCCTGGGTTATCAGCTCATTCCTCTGTGTCTGTTCCCAGTGTGTGAGATGAAGTCCCCCTCCATGAGTGATTTCCTCACGGGGCTGGAGAACTCRGGCTGGTTACGGCACATCAAGGCTGTGATGGATGCTGGGGTCTTCCTGGCCAAGGTAAAGCTGCTCTCCAGCTGCAGGGGAATTCAGAAATGCCTCCTGGTGTGTTAGGGACTGCTGCAAGGCTGGGAAGCTGTTTCTGGGGAGAAGGTGATGTCCAGGTTGGTCTCAGCTCTCCAAAAATGTTGGAGAACGTAAGTGGGTCCTTCAGCTGCTGTGACAKTGGAGGGGTTGGTATCTTGTCATTTGTCCTGTATTGTGACAGAGCTTTATTAAAGCTCATTTGAAACACATAAAGTCACAGAGTGTGAATAAATGACCTTTGTAAGCATTTCTGTATAGCAGGGCAAACAGCTCCTGACCCTGTGCTTGTTATTCATCCACTACTCTGCTTTAGTTGAGGGATTGTTTGGAGCAGTTGGTTTTCCCCTGGTTTTATGTGATGTGTACAAGTAATTTGGATTATTCGACACAGTCCACATTTCTGTGGCTTTGTGGATCAGGCAGAAGGAGGAGAGTCACTAAGGAATAGTAAAGGGYGTGTGGGAAATATGTGGTGAGAGTAGTGAGTCGTAAGTTTTGGTTTTCTCTCTCAGTTTCCCCATGTGAAACTCCTCTGTTCTCCCCCTAAACTTTTCTGTTTCTCTTCTGCCCTAAAGGGCAAAAGATGATGGGATGGGGGGAAGTTGGGWTCAATTCTTCTATTTATCCTAAAGTTCCTAATTCCTGGGTGTCCAACTATTATTCTTTACTCATCCACCAGATTTTTCCTCAGAGGAAGAGCCTGGGAATCCTTGGCCTTCCAGAGGGATTTGAGATCCCAGGGGCAGTTTCTTACCAGCCTGCTGMAGCACTTTGTTCTAGCTGGGACTTCTCTTGATGGAATGGTGCATTTCCATGGGCCAGATGAGAGATACCAAATAATCCCCTGGGGTTTGAGGTGGATGCAGGTGGAGGGACAGCATTTAACTGAGCACTGTGTGTCCCTGGCAGGCTGTGAGGGAGGAGAGGGCCAGCGTGCTGGTGCACTGCTCCGACGGCTGGGACCGCACGGCCCAGGTCTGCTCCCTGGCCAGCCTCCTCCTGGACCCCTTCTACAGGACCTTCAAAGGCTTCATGGTAAGGACAAGCTGGAATTCCCCTGGAAACAAGCCCTAATGTGTGGTTGAGGCCATTTCCTGGGATGAGCACTAGGTGACCTATATAAAGCAGCTTGGAATCTGTAACGAGCTGTAATTGCTCCGAACAGCACAGCAGCAGCCGATTGACAGTTCCCAAATCCTTGTTTCCTGCCATGCCTATATGGGAGCCACTAATGAGAGATTTCAGGAAGAGATGCAGCTCTGGCAGCAATCCACCAAAAACTGGTGGAGTTTGTCMTGGAGTTCTCTTATCAGCTGGGATTGGAAATTGGGTGAATTCAGCCATGCACAGAACAATCAAATCTGCATCATCTCACATCTATTTTAAGCCATTTCACTTTAATTTGGCTGTTTTCACCTAGTGCAGGCTTTTTCTTAATTTGCAGCCATGCCTGCGTGAGTTCAGGGCAGTCTGTGATGTTTCTTTCCAGTCATSTCTTGTTAAATACCTGCAGAGCTGCTGTGTCTCAGGAGAGTTCCCTGTGAGAATCCCTGAAATCAGAACAATGCAGATTTTGCCTTTCAGTGCCAGAACTGTTTCCTTGCATTCCATCCTAGTTTTATTGTCACTGTCTTTGTTTCTGGATTATACTGCAGCCTTTTAACAGTTAAAGTTCCATCAGCACATGAAGCATCTGCCCAGGCTTTGTCTCTRAACAATTCTGCATGAGCTGAGAGCTGGGATTTTCCTTGGGAGCAGGAGCAATGACACACAGACACATCCTTGTCTGTCCTCTGAGACAATGGTTTGTCAGCCACAAGTCCTCTGACRGGTTATTCCTAAATGAATTCGTCATTTAGGAGTGCAAGTAATGGAGCAATATAAATTTTAAAAGCAATATAAATTAGGTTTTCTATGAACCCTGTCATGAGTTTCTGCCTTCCTTTCCTTAATCYGGATCATGATACCAGGAATTATCTTAAGATATGATCCAGCACAGTAAAAATGGATGCAATAATCAGTCATGTGGTTCCTTGTGAGACATCTGTAGGGRAAACACTGCTTCTTTCTTATTTCCTATAACTATAGGGATCTGTTTAAAAGAAAAAATGCCATATAGTTCTGATTTCATCCTCAGCTCCTCAATACACAGCTGTATTGTRCTTCTTACGTATTCTTATTTGTGTGTTAAACATTTTATTCCATTTACTGAATATCACAATATTTTTTCCAAATTAAATAGCAAAGTGTAATATTAAGCTGTTAATTCTTTGAGCTCAATGTATTTATATATTATGATTTTAACAACATAGTTACTCCCTGAAAATGATACYTTTGAAATGAGTTCTGATTCCAGCAGTGCTATTGCCTTGGTAACTGGGTAATCTATAAATCACAATTCCTGCTTCCATTGATTTCTGGGGATGTGTTTAAAGCAATAGGGGCAGCAGGCTGTCAGCTTTTTAAGCTTCAACATCAAAGGCTTCATTTTGCTTTTTTAACCAAAGTAATGCTCTTTCCTTAATCCCTGTTTTGAACCTGCAGGTCCTGATAGAAAAGGAGTGGATTGCAATGGGCCACAAGTTCTCACACAGGTGAGAGGAGCACGTTCCCTTTTGGAAGTGACTGTGAAACCAAAACTGTTTTCAGGTTTAGGGGTTCCCGTGACAAATTGAAATGAAAAGGAGAAAACATTTGGAAAATGCTGGTTTTGATGACTTAAAGTCAGGATCTGCTAAGGCTTTTCATCGTTCTGTTTTTATTGCTTTACAAAATGATAGTTTGAATTCTGGGTGTTTTCCTACCTGCAAAATTGTATTATYTGAGGAGTTCTAATCATGGAATCACAGAATCKTTMAGGTTGGAAAAGGCTTCCAAGATCATTCCAACACCACCACTAACCCAGGTCCCCAAGTGCCACATCCACACATTTCTTKAACACTTCCATGGTGACCYCACCCTGGGGTTCCATCCCTAATGCTCCAACAAGACCTGTTAATTCTCTTGCAATCATCTCCTGGAAGAAGATCTCAGCCACTTTTTCAAGACTTCCCAAATTCAAAACATTAACTTGACCTGGAAGAAAACTTCCACCTGTTTAATGGTGAGGGGATGTTTTGTGTTGGRTGCCAGAGGATTTAACCCTGTTTTTTGCATCTCTCCAGGTGTGGCCACCTGGATGGGGACCCCAAAGAAGTGTCCCCTGTGTTCACCCAGTTTGTGGAGTGTGTGTGGCAGCTCATGCAGCAGTTCCCCTGCTCCTTCGAGTTCAACGAGCGCTTCCTGCTGGAAATCCAYGACCATGTCTATTCCTGCCAGTTTGGCAACTTCCTGGGCACCTGCCACAAGGAGCGCGAGGAGCTCAGGTGAGCTGGGGTTTGGGGAGCCACCAGGCCAGAAATCACCTGCAATGTCAGAAAARGGGCAGGTTCTGTGGGGTTTATGGAATTGGAAATTAGGGTAACATTGTCTTGATTGATCGTTGTATTCTACAATGTGAGAAAAGAATAAATTGATTATATCCCAAGAGAAGCTGGTTTMGTTTGGATCCCAGTAATAACTTGCAGATTTCCTTTCTGGACAGGATAGTGTCCATTTTAATTCCTCAGTGATGTATCTTGTGTGTATGAAATCAATCAGATCCAGCATAAAAATAATTCTTAGCTCCCTTAATCGAATTCTGCTCCAAACAGCTGCAGTTATCAATGCACTTGCTGCTTCTTTTAGTGATCAGATGTTCYTTGTACTTGACAGAATCTTTGAGAAGACCCATTCTCTGTGGCCTTTCCTCTTACAGAGAAAGCAGGAGTTGAGAAATCCTTTGTACAGAGGATTCACAGCTTAYAAAGAGCTCCAACCAAACACTCTACCTTTCAGTTTCCAGTAAGTTGCTCAGTTAAGAAGGGGAAGGATGGCGATTTTTCTTTCATTGTAATGTAGATTGATAACTCGAGTTTAATTCAAATAARTTTGCACTGATTAGCTTGTTTATTTTACCTTTCCCCTCCATTCTTCTGCCATAAACTGAGACGAGCAGTGCAAAGGTTAAATAAATTCAGCTGCTGTAATTTAAAATAATAYTTTTAATTCGGTGTTGAGAAAGAGGGTGGAGTAAGGCAAGGAAAAGCAGAACTTSAACAGAACCACACACAACCCCCTGACTGCTTGCTCTGTCACATTYAAGTGTTTGAAAAAGTTCCTCTTTTCCTCCCTTTTAATGTATATTAAGGAAGYCTTTCAAGCAGGAATTTTGGCACCCCAGTTCAGGGCTTTTCCCAGAGGAGGTTCTGGTTGCCAGGTCTGTTCCATTGCCCAGGGTGTTCCAACAGATCTGGGGAATTTTGTTTTGTTTCTGCCTCACTCCTGGGCCCTGCTGAGAGGGAGGRGGGATGAAAATGTGCAAGTAAAAGTTGGGAGGTTGGACAAACCAAGGGCTGGAGTATGAGCTGGAAGATGGAAATCAGTTATTAAAGTGTATTTTCATCCTACTCTAATATCTRCTGCCAGGTGTTTTAACGTGAAGGAAATTTGCACATTGCTACTGAATTTTATAATCCRAGGYKKKG